ATTTTCATTGTAAAGACCCGATTGGCCTTCTTGAGCTCCTCCACAGAGCAACTGGACCTTCCAGGTCCTAGTTAAGCATAGGAAGTATGCGGCATATAACTTCAAGCAAAAGTCATGTTAAAGAAATGACCAGCTAAGCATAAAGAAGGTCGAATCTAAGGAGAGTACCTGAGCGAAGGTGATAGCATAGTCAGACTGGGCCTTGAGGTCAGAGTCCCATTGGTTGGTGTCCTCGGTAGGAAGGACCTTCATAAAATAGGAAGTGATGGTCGATCCGTTAGAGTTGTTAATCAGAGAGTGCGGGGGGATGACCTCAATGTCCCCTTCCTCAACGTAGGCCTTTTTGGAGCTCGCTCGCGGGTCTGAGCACTTAAACGTTTCTGGCCGACAGTCTTGTCAACGGTCTTCTCGGCCTGTTTGTCAGTCCTCTTTAAGGGGAGGGCAGTGTGCCCCTTGGGCTTGGTTAAAAGAATGGTCTTTTCGACCTTCTTCTTCTTGGATTTTAAGGCAGCCTCATTGGTAGGACCAAGTACCTTATTAGCATAATGTGTGGAGGCCATCTTATTACCCATCATGTTGCAAGGACAAAAAAGTTGCACAGTTAAACAAAAACGCAAAGAAGAAATGTCGTACAAAGTTTAGCAACAACGCTCGAGGTTATCAAGTTCGTCTTAGACAAGGCAGACTGTGGTCTCGCGAAGAGACCACAGTGGAACAAGACTCAATCATCGCCAAGTATGGTGGAGGAAGTGACCTTGTTCTCATTTGAGGAGGCGATGAGACGGTCAAACGAAGAGTTGCATGGAGGATTAATAGTTTTGAAGGGAAGAGCCTCTAGCCAAGGGGTCGAAGGAAAAGGAAATTGGGAAGAAGGTCGAATATAAAAGAATCTTGTCTTTCATTTGGGGACATTGGAAGGAATGTAAGATATAAACATGGTCTTTTTACAGTTTTGGAGGTAGAGTCCCTCTCTTTGCCCCTTGGCCACGTAACAGTAGAAGAAAAATTCAAGGTCAATTCCACCTAATCTACAAAATGAAAGAATTCAAAAGGAAACAAGATGGCAGATGGAATTAGAGGGAATCTGGTTAAGAGAAGACAACAAACAGCACACAAGTCGATGAGGTGTTGGCAAATGGGAAATCTAAGGCCTAACTCGAGCTGGTTATAGAAAGAAGTGTAACACTCGGGTGGGGGAGTGCTTGTGCACATCCGAAGGTTGAGGGACTATATACTCCCAGTCGTCTGGTATAACAGAGCTATCAAAGAGTTCTTCAAGCCTTACAGGCTTGGCTCGTTTGAAATCAACAGTTAAGATTAAATGGGGCAATCTAAAAAAGATAGGTCTGTAGCAGTTAGATCGTGGTCGAAATCAAAGGTGGGGATTAAAAAGGTACACTGATGGGAAAAAATATTCCCAGCCATCGGATGGAAGGAAAATCTAAGGGTCGTTATCAAATTAGCATTTAATAGGTATGTAACCCGAGAACCGCACGGATCACGAGGCAATTATGTCGACAGGACATTTGGATTGATTGGTCTGACAAGGAGCAGGGATTTGAATTTCAAATTTCGAATTCAAGAGCTCAGAGGGAGGTCGAAGACATTGCTTCAGAATCGTAAAAAGCTCCACCATCTTGGTCGAATTATGGAAGTTGTAATTCACCATGAAGGAGCACAAACAAAAATCTACTCTTACTCGACTAGAGTGGGGAGACCAGATGATATTGGATACCATACCGAATCGAATAGACCCAACAAACCAACCAATCGGGCAGGGCCAAACCAGTTGGTCGTGCAGATATACAAACAAGTCGAAAGGAGCTACTGGTCGAACTAAGGCATCACAGGTTAATAGGAGCACTGACAGGTCGAGCTATGGCCCTAGTTGGAACTCGACCTGAAGGTATGACTAATAGACGAATCGACCAGAAGAACACGTAAGCTTAACACAGTTAGCATTCCAATTCGAGGTAATTTGAGTCGGTCGACGATTAGACCGTCTTCAAGACAAATTAAAGGATAAGAAAAAGGGAAAATTACACTTTGCCTACCGAACTATTCGCATTTTTACACTTTGCCCACTCAACTTTTTCCAGTGACACTTTACTCCTTCAACTTCAAATAGTCTTGCGCCTAACGACTTGGCTACTGGAGATGCAAAATCAAGGGCAAAATCGTCATTTGCACCTTAGGGGACACCTCAAATTAGTCTTCACAAGTACACTTTGCGTACCGAACTATTCGCGTTTTTACACTTTGCCCTTGATTTTGCATCTCCGGTGGCCGAAAGTTGTTAAGTGCAAGAATATTTGAAGTTCAAGGGGTAAAGTGTCACCGGAAAAAGTTGAGTGGGCAAAGTGTAAAAACGTCAATAGTTTGGTAGGCAAAGTGTAATTTTTCCTAAGAAAAAATATTATTTAGCTAAAAACAACATGTGGAAAGGGCCACGTTGCCTAATATAATTGGGTAGTATGGACGAATAGTGCGTGCAGTATGGACGGACAGTTCAGACAGTACGGACGGACAGTTCGGATAGTACGGACGAGCAATTCGAGCAGTCTAGGCAGCTCATTCGGGCGCTTTTAGGCAACAAAGTAACACTCCCCTTTACAAAAGAGTGAGATATGTTCATGTCAACATTATATTCTCCTTATACTTACATACAGAGCTTTATAACTATTGTTCATCGTTTTCAGCGGCGGAGCCACCCCAAAGGCTGGGTGGGCTCCAGCCCAGGTCAGTTCAAAAAAAGAAAAGAAAAAATTTAGTAAGCCCGTATAAATTAGCCCAGTTAGCCCGTGTATGAAATGATAACTAGCCCAACAGACAACAAATTGACTCCAAACCTTCAATAATTAAACTGACATCCCAAAATCCAATTATCACACAAATAATATTATAATTTATAATTATTTGTTTAGGAACTGAAACAGAACAAGAATTCAAGAAGAAAATATTTTTTTCCCTAGAAATCAATTGTGGGCAGGAGAAACCCTTTTCTTTCCCTCAGGCCGCGAGAAGCTGTTGTCTTGCGTCTGACGTCCCGCGTTTGCCCGAGCAACTTCTTGTGGTCTTCCTTTTCTCTCTTAGGTTTGCCTTTTTTTTTAATAAATGCTTTAATTTCTATTGTAATTAATTAGGGCAGGGGCGCCTGGCTTTGTTTGAGAACAAAATATGTTCATATGCTTGATGAAAAGTGGAGAACAATAAAAATATGGATTTAGTGAACAATCACCTTTTGAGAATTGAGATGTGGAATTTAGAATATCAGAAAATCAGAAATAGTGGATGACATATTTTGTTCTTTTTTTTTTAGTTTCTCGTTTTAATAAATATATAGTTGAGTGGAATTTGGACATGCGAAATTTAAAATTACTGAAGTGTGGATAATGAAACAAGAAATTGTGATCATGTGAAAGATTTTGTTTTTGTCTTTTTAGTTTTCATTTTTAATAAATATATAGTTGACTAGAGGGGATTTTATTATTAGTTTGATTTTGTAGAAGATGTTTCATTCTCTTTAAAATGTGTACCAACAAAGTAAGAAATGAATTTTAAATACTCTTAAGTTTGAACTTGAAATGGAAAATATAAAAAATAATAGTGTATTGTAAAGTCTACATATGAAATATTTTACTGATATTATTTGTTGATTGATATTTATAGGTTGATTTTTCAAATGGATGCCCACAAGTGAAAGAAGAAAACTATGCTCTCGTTTCTTAAGCACAAGGGAAAGAAGAAAACTACGCTCTCGAGATAACTTTAAGTTGTTCAATTGCGATGATATTTACATTCTTGCCGAGAAATTCTATCCGAATGATTGTAGTGGCCAAGAGCTACATTATTTGAGGAGTCAGTTAAAGCATTATAAGTTTGATGTTGTCCAGCATGAGAGGTTCAAATGTATTTCTACCATTTCTGATTTATGTCGGCGGTTAGTAGAGACAGAAAAGGCAAGACATTATCACTTAATTAGCAGATTGATTCGCCTCATTTTGATTCTCTCTGTTTCTACTACAACAACTGAACGATCATTTTCAACTATGAAACTTCTCAAAACTCCTGTTCGGAATAAGATGGAAAAAGACTTCTTAGCGGATTCTATGATTGTCTACATTCAAAGAGAGTTTACTTCGAAGATCGACACAGATTCAATAATTGACGAGTTTTATAGTATGAAAAATTGAAGGACGCATTTTAAATAGGCAACCCTTTTTTTTTTTACCTTTTTAAATAATTGTAATGAACATGAAAAATTTTATATGCATTTGTCAATTAAAACTTATTTTCTATTTTCTCTTTATTAATTTTAGCACATAATTAAATTTATTCTTATAACCGATCACGATCATCTAAGGGTATTTTTATTTTTTTTCTGGCTACGCCCCTGATTATTTTCATTCATTTCTGACTTAAGCATCAGAAGTTCTACGCCAGAAAATCCCTCTAACATTGAATTTGTGCAAGTCTTGAAGGTCATTAACCAACAAAAAAGGTAATTCAGGTCAAACCAAGACAGTCCGACGTCTTTTACATACCACCACCCATATGCTTCTTGCTAAAACTAAATGAATATCTGCTAAGAGAACTTATCAATTCCAACGTAGTTAAAAGATGAATTACAAGTAATAAAGTGAAATAAAGCTAAACAAATGCGTCAAAAATTTGTGAAATTGTCTAGCCGTGAATTATTTATTTTATTCACAACCATGAATTATTTATTTATTTTAGTGCAACCTCATATATATTCACAACCACTCTAGAAGACTGTATTAGAAAAATATTTTTTTTGTTATAATAATAACATTCTTAATAATAACATTCCTAATTACTATTCTGTTCTTTTATACACAAAATTCCATACCCCCATCCAATTAGGGACTTTATAAACTTGGTACTAGCACTAACGAATTCGGTATCCACCATCGTCTACATAGTTGTCAACTGATTTTCAATTCTAGCTAAACTGATGTTTAATTGAACAATGTGAGAATTCAATCCATGTCTGAAAAATCTGCGGAGACCATTGTCTCAGAGGCTGCCCATAACCGAGCCGCTTCTGCAGAGCTGGAACCCAATTTGGATGTCGAGGCTTCATTACAATCCGAGTAGTATTTACCACTTATGTTCGCAAGTCTTGGGTTTGTCCCGACATAGCAAGTAGTAGCAGCTGCCTGATTTTTCTTTCAATTAAAACTTTCTTCTCAACAATTAGTTGTACGCATACATTAATTACATGGAAATTAAATTAATTCTGTTACTTTTTATTTTTAGGTGGGTGGGTCATTGTTTTATGTATACAACATTGATCATCATGAGTATAAAGTGATATATGCAACTGCTTTATTTGGACTCCAGAATTAAGACTCCCAATTTTCATATCTTAAATTCTTGTGGAATATATATAATATAATTTTCAACCCACTTTCCTTGATTTGCCTATAACCATGAATTTTCAGAATTAAAGAACGACCGGAACAAGTCTAATTATTTGATGTAATTGGTTCATTCATTTTTCGAAAGTGTAAGTTTATAATTTTGCTTCCAACGAGTAAATTTGAGATGATCTGAAGGTCTAATTTTATTCCACATTTTAATTAAAAAAAAAGGTTTTGAACTAATTACTACTACAAATTCGATATATCTATTAACAAGTGTGTGTATTGAATTTATTAAGAGTAAATTTTAACTGATTGACCGGACGGGTATGTGTGTAATGAATTTGTTAAGAAGTGTTACCTGGGGTATAGTCTTCAAAAGTTTGGAAGCCAACAAAAACACCAAATCTGCATATACATAAATTAGGTTTTTGTTTTAGATTTTTTTTTTTTTTAATTTATGCAACTGAAATTATATGCCCTATAATTAAACATTTAATCACCAGTGATAAGGCCTTCACGATCTCTAGTGAGTTTGGTTCTAACAATCCCTGGATGAACACAGTTCACAGTCACATTTGCCCCCATTTCCTATATCCAGCACTAATTAGTAATTCACTAAATTATTGTGTGAAATGTCTTTTTTTTTTCCTGAAATTTCTANAAGAAAAAGTCAAAACTTATTTTACTTTGCGCCTCTTATTAAACCTCACTCATTTTGTGTAGGATGCTAGTATGCTACCCTATTAGTATTTTTTTTCATTACCTAGCTAGTCAATGGAGAGGAGAGACAGAATTATTCTTACATATTTCAAATTATTTAATTGTTTAATTAATATTTTTATTACATATTATAAAATCTTAATATTTGGTAAGTAGATAATATTATAGTTAGACTACATTGTGCATTGAAAATAAATTTTTAATTTCATAATTGTAGACTTTACATTTATCCTACATGATTCACAATTAATTTAATTTATTAACATTTGTTAAAATTTATTCTATGACAACATTAAAACATTGGAGATGCTAGAGCATTGTAGTAAATTACACTTTATATTAACAAATTTAACCATGTCTTCACTTTTAATTCTACAATGCACAATATAATCACAAATGTAGTGATGAGGTGGACATAATTAAAGTTCACAATGTACAGAAGAATGTTGTTCATCCACATTCTCTTTCACATTCCAATCAACCAATTGAGAGATGAGAGAGAAATATTATTATCATTTTCAAAATATCTAAATTATTTAATTTTTTTGTTTCTTATTTATAATTTTTTTACTTTTGCCAAGTGAAAAATATTATATTTGATCACATTGTGCATTGTAGATAATTTTTTAGATTTAAAATTGTGAATTTAACAAATATCTTATGTGGTTTACAATCCATCTAAATAATTGACATTTGTCAAAATTTATGTGATAACAATATTTATGCATTGGAGATGCTATAATGGTTAGCCACTATGATGTGGGATGCAACACAATAATCTACCATATCTACACTTGGTATGTGTTGCATCCCTATAAATTACGCTGAATCTAATGGCGTCAATATATTGATTTATTGCTATAAGGATTGAGATTTTTTTAGAATGGAAAATTCAAGATCTTCTATAAATGGTAGCTTATAACATTTACGATCAGTATTAGCATTTACTACATAAAAATTAATTGATAATAAATAAATTAATAAATATTTAGTAATATTTATTTACTACCACTTTACTTTAATATATTTATAGATAATCAACTCGTCCAAGAGTTGTACATCTAGTATTTTAAACTAATCATTATTTGATAAGTTAATTATTAAATTATTCATAATATATTCATTACATAAATCTATATTATTATAAACATACATACACGAATAAAAAACATTATTTGAATTTCTTATTATTCATCTTATGATATAAATATGCTCTAATTATTAATTATTTATTAACTACTATTATACAATCAAATAATAAAATCACGAGTAAAAGTGTAAAACCAATGGGTTAGTTCTATCAGATAATATCAGCCTCACCAAACATGATCAATTTATGCAATATCAGTCTCATGTAAGTCCATGTTAATGGCGTTTTGAGTTCAAGAAGCAAAATTATTCTCCCAAATGAAAATAGATCGATTCCTAGTGGATAATTTTTTCTTATTTTCGTAAGAAACTCAAGATATCACCAAACAAAAGTAATTATAAGTTAATATTATTGTCAACTCTTCGTACCTTGGGAAATAAACCACCACCTAAAATGGGACTTGATTATCAAGAAAAATAAAAAAGGGACTTGATAAGTGAACATCCCAAAAAAAGGGAAAAGAAAAAAGAAAAAAGAAAAAAAAAAGTACGTCTCTATTTTGAGGCGGTCTAGTTTTTGCGGAAAGAAAATACAGCAAGTATTTACAAAGTCAATAATAATAATAATAATAATAATAATAATAATAATAATAATAATAATAATAAATTGCCACAGTAGTAGTAGGTCAAGTTAATTAAGTGGGCAAAGACTCACCTCTTATTCTTGGTAATCAAGTCTAAATAACGAAGCGTATCTCCCGAAAACCAGCTGTGAATACTAGACGATACATTCACTATTCTTCCTTGCACGCCGCTAGTTTTCGCCGTCTCCATCATTTTATTTAACAATAGCTTTGTCAACAAAAAGTGACCTAATTAATGTATAAAAAAAAATATCAATTCATTACACGAAATTAATCAAAAAGGAAATTTCGAATGTCCCGTGTATCCGCTCATAAAATATAGATAAAATTTGTACCCAAGTAATTAGTAGCAAACGTCATCTCAACTCCATCCTCCGAAATAGCATGATCGTACGAGAACTTCCCGGCATTNNNGGACAAGAGATCTTAAATTAAAAAGAAAGAGAACAATTAAACAAATCGGAGTGGAGTGTTTAAATTAATTACACTAGAAGATTGAGAGGAAGATTAAGAGATTGAAAGTCGGCCACAAATCGGCGTACGGAGTTGAGTGAGCTGAGGTCAAGCCCCATGACAAGAATGTCCGAGTGGGGAAACTCGGACAGAATGCGAGAGCGAGTCTCCTCGGCCGCTTTGAGGTTGCGGGCCGGAAGAACGAGCCGAGCCCCGCGCATAGCCAGAACCCGGGCCGTCTCTTCGCCTATCCCAGATGTCGCACCTGTAAACCAAATGAGTAGTAAATATCAAGGAAATTAAAAGAAGAAAAAACCTCCCCTGATTTTGAATTTTTCTCCAATCCATCACTATCACCTGTGATGATGGCCGTGATAGGCCGGAGATCAGGGCAGACGGCCGTGACTTGCTCGGCGGTGGACTTGGAACTGAACCCACTCGCCCCAGCCGTGCCCATCAGGTACTTGACAGTTTCTAGCATTTTTTTTCTAATTTCTGAGAATTAAAATAAATTGTCTCTTTCTTCCACAACAAAAAAGATAGCCGAAATTCAATTGATTTGAGGAGGAGTTATGTGGGTGACGGCGAATAGTCAACAAACAGAGACTAGGTGGGGAAAAGGGAATAGTAGGCGGCTAGGCTAGTTAGAGGCTTCTTTATATCTTTATTTCAATTTTCCTTTTATTTACCTTTCTTGGGTGGTGGTGGTGGGGGGGCAGAGATAGATGTATAGATACAGGCAAGTTTGTAAGCATGTGCGTCTTTTGTTTGTGGGATGGTGGGATTATATTTATTTATAGATAAGAAATAGACCCCTCCATTTATAACGTGTGAGTGGGTGGGGATTTGGGTATCGAATCAATTATAATCACAGGATTATATCTTTGTCATCCATTGATTTGGATTTTTAATACATATATATATTTATGTAATTGGATTGTTTATTGTTCTGCGGATTGTCATCACTGGATTTGGCACTTTAACATGGTCTGTATTATTGTAATCACCTAATCATTACTCACTTTTTTAAGCAAATAATTGTAACTAGCTTTTTGAAGGAACCTTATTTTTTAGGCTTGACTTTTACAAATTGCTAGGGAGCATGATGTATATATATCAGTGTTTTCGTGATGGGTCGCGTTTTGGTCCTTATATTGTGTAGCGTAAATAGCGTTGCGTGTTGCGTAAGCTATTTGGGTATAAAAAATTATTTTTATAGAAATATTATAAATATATTTGCCTATAATAAAAGTAAATGTTGATTCTAAAAATCATCATAATATTTAAATGAATTCAAAAATAGCATCTAAGAATTATTTCTCACACAAATGTTTAATGTAAAGATCATATATAAATATATAAATAATAAAACGAATACACTAAAATATAAACAAACAACGAAAATATAATGAGGTAAGTAATAGTTTAATTTTAAGTATATGTATTTTAATTATTATTTTTATTTAACTACAACTTAATTCTAACCACTATATATGAATTTTTTATTCTTTATTTAAATGGTAGATAGCGAAAATTAAATTGATATAATAGAAATTGACCGATAAATATTGCACTATTCAACTTAAGATTTTGTATTTTCAAGCTTTTAGTTTCAAATCATTATCAAAAGTTTAGTTTTTAGTTGTCATTGTGCAATTATGACTCTAATCCCAAAAAATACGAGTTTTGAAATATTTTATTATTTAAGTCATTGAAGAAATATAGCGCAATGTCGCGCACAATAGCATGAAATAAAGCAAAATAGCATAAAAGAGTGTCATTTCAGCATTTCGTGTAAGTTTTTCGGCAAAAAGCTAAATATATAAAGCTACGTCGCGTTTTTTGGAAAAAAAAAAATACATAGCGAGCTATTTAATGCACTAATATATATATATATAGGGTCACGCTCTAGTGAGAATGATGTTCAGTGAAAGAATTAAGAATACATCATAGCCATTAAAACAGATGATCCAACGGTAATAAAAAAATCCAGCATTTATATATTCATTAAGGTTCCGTTTGTTTTGAGGGATTTGAAATCTCTTGATTTCAAAATTTTTGAAATATAAATTTTTTATTTGCACACTTCTTTCTTGAATTTGTTGAAATATTATAAATCAATTGTCTAGATCGCACTGATGGTATTGACTCGCATGGCGGACGGCGTGGTCGTCAACGATGATAAACAGTGGATTTCAAATGACTAGGTTTGAGGAGTCATTTAAAATTCTTCAAAATAATGACTATAAAACATCTAGCAAGAATTTGAAATCCTCCAATTTCCATTATCATCCCAACATGCATGAGGATTTAAACTTGTAAATTTGAAATCTATGGATTTCAAATCACTCAGTAAATCCTTATATCCAAACTTAGTCTAAGAGTATTTTGGACATTTTATTATCAACCGTAGGAGTCATACCAATTATCCATTCACACACACCTAATAATTATATGTAACGTGGTCACTACGCATCACAACCTCCCACCTCTCTCTCTCTCTCTCTCTCTCTCTCCACAAGCACACACCTAGTATACACACACAAACAGAGAAACACACTGTAGTGCCCCGTTTATTTGTGGATTATTTGAGAAATATTATTATTATTTCTATTGTTATTATTATTGTTATTATTATTTTTGTGATTATTTATATTTATTTTTCTTGAATGCCATAATATTAATTAATTGCCAAATGTGATTAAATGCTAAATGTCTAATTGTCTAATTGATTTTGTGATTTGTTATATTATTAATGTGAAATAATGTGTATTTAAAAATATGTACAATATATATATATATATAGTTCGGTTTATTTTTTTTATCGCGCGTTTGCATTCGTAATCGAGCCCGAGAATTTTCGTTGGAACCGAAATTGGACCCGAGAATGTCCGTTTGAATCGTAAGCGAGCCCGTGAGCCGATTTGATGTCGCAACCGGCCCAAAACCAATTTGACCCAACTTCTCGGGCCCGGCCCGACAAATTTTTCTCCTCTTTTTCTTTCGCGTGAGTCGTGTGTTTGGAGTTGTGTTTGTCTTGGACATGAAGATTTCTCATTAACCCTAATGAGAATATATATAATTCTCCATCTCGATTTCTCTCTTCATAACCGTACCCGCAGTTTTTTCTATTTCTGATCGATAAACCCATCTCTCGTCTTTGATTCTTCCCTCACCTTTCACGCAAATCGCCGCCATCGGTCTCTTTTCGTTTTGTTCACGCGCAAGCAGCAGAAAATCCGGCTATCACCATCTCAATCATCACCCTCGTCGTCCATCATCACCCTGGTCGTCATCATCGTCTCTATCTCGTCATTCCGTTCGTGAACAGGACTTCTTCATCTCGCCATCCTCTTCTGTTCGAAATTCCGGCGGCCTGCAACTTCCGGCGGGATTGTGTTCCTGTGAGCAGTCCACGACCGTCGGGGAGCCCTTCTCGCAGCAACTCGCGCAGCGATCTCCGACGATCCCTTGCAGAGAGTTCCGGCGACTTTTGTTCGTCCTTCGAGCAGCCCGCGAGCCCGGCGACGTGAACACTTCCGAACGTGATTTTCCGACAAGCAGCTTCTCCTTCGGCGACCTTGCAGCGTCGTCCGGCAACCTAGCAGCAGTGACCCATCCCCTCTCGAAGCCGCTGCAGCACCTTCTCCTTCCGGCGAGATGCGAGAATCCGTCGAGCCCCGTTTGTGTTCGTTTCGTTTTTCATGTTGTTCCCGAGAACGGTACCTCGTCGTTTTTCTGTCTCGTTTAACTCGTATATGATTTATTTCGTTATGTGTTTATTGTCATGAGGTGCTCGTTGAACAATGAAATATATGTGTGAATTGCTTGATGTGAATATGTGCGTTTATATATTATTATGATTTTATGTGTTATCGTATGTTCGGGACCTCTTCGATTTTCTCAAGAATCGAACGAGACCTCGAAAGTCGTGTAAGTCGGTGGATATTGGAACAATGTCGAGCCCTTGGTCTTATGAAAAGGCCTCGGACGAGAAATTTTATGTTAAGAATTAATTTACGAGTTGTCGAGCTTTTGAATCGCTGTTTTGGTGTTTGAATTTTTAAAAATGGCTCACTGCTCGGAATGACTTGAAATTTTGAGGGATATGTTATCTGTTTATTGCCAGCCATGGGTAAAAATTTCGTAATTTTTAGAGGCCTGTAGCTATATTTAATAATTAAAGTGAAATCTGATCAGAATAGTGTTAAATGCATAAAACATTCATTCTTGAATGAAATGAGCTGAAATTCGAATATGTCATGCCTCTGTGACTTTTATATGTTGTGTTAAATGTTTAAAATTTTTGGACTTGATTTGATGGGGCTAATAATTTACTTATCGAATCTGCTGAAGCGTTGTTTGAATTTTTATAAATTGGTTATTTCGTGAAAAATTTTGAAATTTTACTGAGATGCCTATTTTATGTGTTGAATTATGTTTTTAAAAGATGGGAATTTTTGGAGTCCATTTTCATTCAGTTTTGATTTAAATTCGATAAACTGCTGATGCTCGTACGAATTTTTAAAAATAGTAGCGGTCAACATTTAGAGCTGAGATTTTTATACATGGACTTTAGCATGCTGTATGTTGTTGTGTTAAATTTTCAAGTTCTGATTCGTTCATTAAGTTCAAGTATGAATTAATGTTCCCATTTTGTTGATATCTTGTTCGAATTTTATAAAATAGTGTATTTCGAGTTTGAAGCTGAAAATTTGTTGTTTTAAATGTTTCTGGGAGATGAAATTTTGTATAAAGTTTCAGAGCTTAATTCGTAGGGTAGCCTGATCATCTATTTTCATGTGATTAATGATTTCTATTTTCGAAACATGATTTTGAAATGAAAGTTGGGAATCGACTTGCTTTTCGTTTGGTTGTGAGGTTGACTTAGTCTACCATTAGATGGAATTATTTGAACTCTCATATGTTGGTTGGTCGAGTTTTGTATTGAGTCTTAGTGTTCCAACGTCCACAGCACTTCACGAACTACTTAGTCGAAACAAGTTCGACTAGGTCTGTTTTGTGTTTTCCGTTTCAAGTTAAGATAGATGTTGATTGTAGCATCTTGACTTAATGTAGGTGATTGAGGAGTCCAGCCTCGACCTACTTCCATTGCTTTGAGTTATTATCAACCCGGAATCCAGGTGGGTTATTCTAAAATTATCTATGCATATGTGTGATTTTAAATTGTGATGAAAGTTTGGTGTGATATATGTATGAAAATGAACATGTAGCCTATCGATGTGAGCTTGATGGCCATCGGTACGGTTGTCCCCGTATGATAAGATACGGTTACCCAGTGAGGTAAATCTCATTAAGACCTATGAGAAGGCCCTGTCATTGATGTGGCACGCACTCCCATGTTTCACTGATATGGCATGGCTTAGCTTTGATGAGCATAGATGTACATGAGTGAGTCTTTGATGAGACTATAGTCATTGATGTGGCTAGAGATGTGACATGATTTTATTGTTTATGTTCATGCTGCGACCATACCATTATTATGTTATTCATATGCATAGTGTGAGTATGATAGTTAACTGTACTCACTCCCACCTGCTCGTAACTGATGCAGGTTAAGCAGTCGGCGGGTGACGAGACAAGACGGGTGGTGGTTATGTCATTTATTATTGCTTATTTAATTTTGCTTCCGCTTAGTTTATGAACTCCTGTTGAAAATTTGGATATTGATTATGTCGTTTTGAATTTGAGAATTATGAATTGTCTTTTATGATTTGGAACTTAATGAATGCTAGTGAGGTTTATG